GCAGGAAGGGTTGCAGTCCCCAGCCCTGGGGGGATTTAACAGCCAGGCAGGGGCGGTGCTGAGGGCCGGGGTTTGGGGGTGGGATGGCAGGGGTAGGGGAGCAGTTGGGCTTGATGATCTTGGAGGTCTTTTCCAACCCAAACCGTTCTATGGTTCTACTTTTTACCCGTTGTGTACCCCTCGAGATTGAGAATTCAACCAGGGTGTGATTGCTGCAGCCCAGGCTACCTCCAGGCTTGACCTCTCTGATAAGTGAGCCACGGGTCCAGCGGTGCTTCTCCTCTGGTCGGGCTCTCCATCATCTCTGCTAGGAAGTTGTCCTCAATGCGCTCCAGTGGCTTCCTGGACTGTTCGCAGTTCGCTGTGCTGCTTTTCCACTATGTGTCTGGGTGGCTGAAGTCCCCTGTCAGGATCAGGGCCTGCGAGCGCGATGCTCCCTGCAAATATCTGCTGTCATCTCCTTTTGGGTTGGGGGAAAAACATCTGCTGGCCTTGCATTGCACGTGGAGAATAAGAAGCAGCTCCGATGGGGGGAAAAGACCTTCTCGTCAGTCCCATGCTGATCTGAGGATTTGCTGCCTACCTGCAGACTGCTGAGTCGCTGGGCACCCCCAGCTCAAAGCCATTTGCCAGACCAAGTTGGCTCCTGGTCCCAGTGAGAGCGTCCTGGCCGCGGGGAACAGCGTGGTGAGCTCGCGTCCTGCTGACGGCTGAACGATGGGCTGGCCCCCGTGCTTTGTTGTCAGACGGACGAGCAAATAGCTCCCAGACAAAGCTGGCCCAGAAGGGCTTTCTGTGTGGCCACCAGCGCTCGGGCACATCGTCATCTGGCCCTGCAGAGAGCGTGGAGGGGGTCGGTGCTTTTGTAGCGGTTTGCCTTAAAGCTGATGGCTGCTTTCAGGCTCTTTCACCAGCAAACCCACCAAAATCCTTTCCTAAAATCCCCTTGGGATGCTCTGAACAGGAATGCTTTTCTGGTGAATGAGGTCAGATTGGTGTGTCTGGTTTGTACGAGCGGTTTAGCGATCCCCTCCTATGAGCGTGATTTTTCTAACTGGTAACGGATTCGATGGCCGGGAGTGTTGTTTTCGCGGCGTGAAGGCGGCACCGCACCGCGTGCCACGGCAGTGGGGTTTTCTGCCCCGCTCCCAGTGTAGCTGAGCCTGAAGCTTCCAAGAGCAGGAGCTGTCAAGAAATAAACTGTGGCTTGCTGGTTGGAAGAGTGCCGGCCGCTGAGACGAACTGAGTTTGCCCAGTGAGATGCGGTGGGGTCCCTCTGGGCACCTTCTCCTGTGAAGGTGAAAAGCAAAGCTCCTCATTGCCTCTCGCTGTTCTCTGTGGCTCCCGATGTGGATTCAAACCCAGTGCGGTGACTCCCAGCCTGACTGGGAGGAGTCAAGGGTCTCTTGGTGCCAAAGCTGTTTGGTGTTTCCGCACCTGCCCCTTCCCAGAAGAGCAACGTGAGTGCTTTGAGTCCTGCCGTATGCTCCTCTCTCCAAAAGGAAGCTGCCAGCTGCTGACCTCTAAGAGCACAGACATTCCTCAGATGTTCCTTTGCCTTTCAGGAGCTACTGCTGCTGGTGGCCAACGCTTGTTTTCGCTCCCACCTTGGCGGGAGAGCGTCTAAATCTGCCAAAATCTGGAAAATTGCCTCTTCGTTTGTTATGATGCTTAGGAGGAAACCATCGGCGTGGAGTTATTGCATCTGTAGAGAGGAGGTGCTTGGGTTGGGCACCAGGCAAGTGGTGGGAGACCCTCGGACCTCAGTTCTGGACGGTCTCTGCCTTCCCTGTGCCTGCCCCGGGCCTTCGGGCAGAGCAGAGCGGTGCTTGCAGCCGGAGGCACTCGCACCTACCTGCTGCAGTTTGGAGTAAACCCAACATCTCCAGGCTTTGGTCGCAGCCAGAAATTGGGGTGGCTCTGCAGAAAGTGTAAAGAGGGAAACTGTGCATGACTTGTGGGTTGGTTTTTTTTTGTTTGTTTTTGGTTTTTTAATTTAAGGAATGTCTCTTCAATTAACTTGTTTTAATGACTAATCTGTGTTGTTGCTTCCAGGTCAGGGGCCATCACATTGCAAAGCTTGATCCTCTCGGCATTAGTTGTGTAAATTTTGATGATGCGCCAGTAACTGTTTCTCCAAACGTCGGTGAGAATTACTCTGCAAATTAATTCTAATGTAATTTAACTTTTTTACCCCTCCCCTCTTTTGTTTTTCTCCCTTTCCCCTCTCCCTCTTGGTACCTGTTCTCCTTTCCATTCCTGGCCCATTTCATAGATTCGAGGGCATCATGTAGCACAACTCGACCCACTGGGCATCTTGGATGCAGATCTGGACTCCTCCCTTCCAGCCGATATTATCACATCCACAGACAAACTGGG